AATATAGTTAAAAGTCAACAAAATCGAGTTAAGCAAATTATAATGAGTTTATACTTTATAGTGTGAATTGAGTAACTGATTATATTTTAAATAAAATAAATAGTTCAAATACCCTCCACAATCTTAGAAAAAGTCAAATCTAGCTAGAAGCACTAGCTAGATCACTTCAATAATGTGGCACAACAATGAATTGCACATCCAAAATCATTTCATATTCTTATTTGGAGTCGAAAGAAAGAAAAATCACATCAAGAAAGAAGCGCGTGTAAATGTCGACCTTGGAATTCATATTTGAGAGGTCAACAAAAGTGTGTTGCATTCTCATTTTAGAAAGAAAAAAAAAAAACACTAATTAAAAATATTGCCAAATGTCAAATCATTTTTAAAAATGAAGCCAAATGTCGACCAAAATCTTGATCCAACAAACTCTTCATAATTGTTAATGCTTGGATACAACATTTACCAAAAAATTTCAATCATTTTTAACTTATTACTTTTTTAAATATAAATCTAACTCAACTTTAGTTCAATCTCACTATCTTTTCAATCTCACTATTCTTAATATTATCAATATAGTTAAATAATAACACTCGATCATTCTTACACATTACATTAATTTTAATTCATTATTCATCCACTCACTTAATTTAACTGACCATCACTTCACGTCATTTATCTTCCAGTTTTACATCAAATTAATTTTAATTAAATTATTTTAAATAATTATTATAATATGAACTCAAAATCTCACTAACAATTAATCATACCACTTTTTTCAAAATTAACAGATTTTATTTTTCTAATAAAAATAATTTTTTGCATATAACTGACATATTTAAAAAAAATATTGTATAAAATTATCAAAATATAAATATATATTTTATTTAAAAAAGTAATGAATCGACTCAAGTAACAGTTGATTGACTCATTGTACATAACAAGTTCTCATTCAAACTCCCATCTAGAGGTGTTAAATGTCCTTGGCCCGACAGGCCGGTCCGTTTAGCCCGAAAAAAACAGAGTTAGGTCCCTTTATTAGTAACCCGTTTAAATCAAGGTTTTTTAGGTCCAACCTGTTTAGCCCGAAGCCCGCTAGGGCTGGCCCGTTTAACTAGAGTTGAGCGGTATAAATGTTTGCATCAAGTAAGTAATATGCTCTTAGATTCTTTGTATATTAAAATTTTGCTATTCCACTTCACATGTAAGTATGAGTTGTAATGAATTATTATGATTTTGAAAGATAATTATTAACAATATTGTTATTGTACTTAACACCAAAATATTTAACCCAATCTGAACGGCTACTAGAAAACACATGAAACATAGTGATAGACAGTAATTACTAAAGCCGTTGAAAACAATCGTTATCTAGCCGTTGATATTTTTTTTTATATTTTTCTCTTTTTATTTTTGATTTGTTTTATATATTATTATTATTATTATTATTATTATTATTATTATTATAGCCAGTATAGCCCGTTTATCCCGAAGCCCGCTAGAATTAGAGTTATGTCCCTTTATTGGCAGCCCGTTCAAATATCCATGCTTTTTAGGCCCGGACCGTTTAACCCGAGCTAACCTGTTTAACATCTCTACTCCCATCATTGTACCCATCACACTATCCATACACACTAAACTTTTGTAGCAAAATTAAGAGCATATATATATGGGACGGATCCAATGAGACCACTCCTTAAAATGACTACGTGAGACTCAATCTTAGCCACTCATTTTGTCTAGATCAAAATCAATTAAAATATATATTAATTAAATAATAAAATAATTATTAGTTGACTCCGGCGTTGACTGTTGACTCCGGCGTTGACTTTCGGCGAAAATCGTTGACTTCCAGCGTCGACCCGTTGACAAATAACGTAGCAGCAAGAAATAAATAATCTAGCAACAAAAGACACTCAACCTTGAGTGGTGTAGTGGTTTCATTGCTTATCTTGCTTCCATGAGGTACCAGGTTCAAATCCTATGGGTTACAATTTTAATAAGCAATAAAAAACAACTAACCTAGCAGCAAGAAAGAAATATTCTAGCAATAAAATACAACCAACCTAGCAACTTAAGACAACTAACCTAGCAACAAAACTCAACTAACCTGGCAGAAAGAAATAAATAACATAGCAACAACAGACAACTAACCTAGCAACAACAGATAACTAACCTAGCAACAAAAGACTCAAGGACATTGTTACAGCTTTCTCATACAAGCTGTGGTGGCGCTTCAGGGAAGGAAAGTTGCTTTGGGCTCAGTACCTTCGCGGCAAGTACTGCCCTAGACGTGCCAACCACCCTTGTTGGGTGACGGCTGTTGATCATGATAGTAGGCAGTGGCGGCGCCTCACTAGGGTTGGTAGGCGCGCCCAAGATCACATCTTCTGGGTTCTGGGCGAGGGCGATGTTAGTTTCTGGGATGAGTGGTGGGTAGGTGATAGGCCGTTGTCTAGGGATATGCAGGTGTCGCACTCCCCCTACCTACTTGTGAGCGACCTCTGGACGGACGGGTCGTGGGATAGAGGGAAGCTTGATAGGGAGTTGGGATCTAGTGCGGGATTTAGCGGGCATTTATTAGATCAGATCCAGCAGATCCCTATCTCGAAGGACGGTTCAGATAGCATGAGGTGGAGACTTACATCATTGGGTGTGTTTTCTACTACCTCGGCTTGGGAGCAGATCAGGCTGAGGGATCGGCCTAATCTCCTCTTCGGAGCCATCTGGAGTGACCTTTTCACCCCTACTATTTCGGTGTTCCTTTGGCGCCTCCTCTTGCGCCGAATACCCGTGGATACTGTGCTACACGCGAGTGTGATCTCCTTCCCCTCTCGGTGTGTGTGTTGTTATGAGACTGGACGCCATGAGACCGAGACTTTTACCCACATTTTTCTAGAGAGTGAGATTGTGAGGAGAGTGTGGGAGCATTTTGCCACTTGGACACATATATCCCTACCCACCACATACAGTTTCTTTGAGCTTCTGAATTTTTTCTCACAGAGCACACACCTTAGACACGTGGGCTTCCTCATTCCTTGTCTGATCCTTTGGTTCACCTGGACAGAAAGGAATAGTGCGAAGCATAGGGATATTACTTTTATGTTTTTCCACATTGTTTTGCAGGTAGAGAGACACATTTCACTCCTCATCGCATTAGGCAGGCTCACGGCCCGAGACTGGACAGGCTGCACGCCACCACATCGCTACATGGTGGCCCCACCCCCACCTGTTCGGCCACCTCGGCCCAAAGCTGTTGTTTGGCTTCGACCTGACTCTCCGTGGGTCAAGCTGAACATTGATGGCTCCTTTGATCGCCACACTGGAGTTGCCGGAGGAGGAGGCTTGATCCGGAACCATAGCGGCGACCTCATCACCGCCTTCCACACGTCCCTTCAGGCTTCCTCGAGCTATGATGCAGAGATTCAGGCATTACAGATCGGCCTTCAGATTGCAGTCCACCTCTCTATCCACATTTGGATCGAGCTAGACGTTGCGGCTGTCGCCACCCTTTTGACCTCGGGCCACCAGGGCTCATGGCAGATTCAGCACACGCTTATGCGTATAGAGATCTACTCCGGTCTGTCCATCACAAGATCACGCACATTTTCCGTGAGGGGAACAGACCCGCCGACTATCTTGCCAGCCTTGGCGCCACTATACCAGACACACATACATTCCAGACCGACACTGCTCCACTCCGCCTTCGCACCCTTGTACGGATGGACCAGCTTGGATATCCTGCGTTCCGATTTCACTAGTTTAGGATTTTTGCTTTCATTAGTCTAGACATTTATTTCGGGCATCTGTTAGCCCGAAGATCGACTTTGTATTGTAGTTTCTGTTTCTTTTTCGTTTTTCGATTCTTTTTTGTTTTTTGTTTTTAATTTTGATTTGTGAGACGATGTAGACTATTGTATCTTGATCGTTGATATTTTGGGCCCCGATTTTGGGGTCCTAACCTAGCAACAAAAGACAACTAACCTAGCAACAAAAGACAACTAACCTAGCAGCAAGAAAGAAATAATCTAGCAACAAAAGACAACACAACTAACCTAGCAACAACAGACAACTAACCTAGCAGCATCAGACAACTAACCTAGCAGCATCAGACAACTAACCTAGTAGCAAGAAAGAACTAACCTAGCAATAAAAGACAACTAACCTAGCAACAAAACACAACTAACCTACCAACAAAAGACAACTAACCTAGCAGCAAGAAAAAAAAGACAACTACAGAGAACTAACCTACCAACTACTAACCTACCAACAAAAGACAACTACAGAGAACTAACCTACCAACTACTAACCTAACAAATACAGAGAACTAACCTAGCAACTACAGAGAACTAACCTAGCAACTACTAACCTAGCAACTACAGAGAACTAACCTAGCAACTAGAGAGAACTAACCTAGCAACTACAGAGAACTAACCTAGTTGGAAGGTTACTTGTCAACGATCAACGCCGGAAGTCAACGGATTTAGCCGGAAGTCAACACCGGAAGTCAACGGTCAACGCCGGAATCAACGGATCAAAATAATATTTAAATAATTAAAATAATAAAAAAGAAAAGATATCTTGGCCACACATGATATGTATCAAATCTTGTGGTTAAAAATGAATCTAACGTCTTCACTTTAAATAAGTAGATGCATTGGAACCATTCTATATATATAAATATATATATAGGGGTTGGTTCAAATAAAAACTAGGTCTGGTGTGAGAACCGTGAGAACCATATTTGATGCTATTTTTAATTGCATATGATGCTATTTTTAATATTGCATGGAGCTATCATTCTTCACAAATGCTAATAAAAATTTTATTGCTATTTTTAATCAAATACATCCTAGTTAAAAATAGCACTAGAACACAATTAATCATAACATTACATACAATTAAAAATAGCGGTTCTCACGGTTCTCAAACTGGGACTTGGTTCTCATTTGAACATATATATATATATATATTTATATATATATGCGCACTTGTCCAACATACTCTTTTTCATCATTAAATTCCACCAAAATTGCCAAAGTATCAATGGGTCCTTCCAATGCCTTCATCTCTTTTTTCTTCTGCTGTTTTCTTCTCACCTCAGGTACACATTTTTTTCTGGATTTTTCTTCCTTTTTCACTCCATTTCTTCATTTGATTTGATTTATAAAATTTAAAAAAAAAAACAAAACAAAGAAAGAAAGAAAGAAAATCATGTATACCTTACTTCTAATAATAGTAAATTAATACATCTTTCAATTTGAACAATACACCCATATTTATTTATTTATTTTTTATTTTTTTTTATTTTTTGCAGGACTAGGCATCGATGGCTCAACCCTCCACCACGGCGGCCACCGCCACCACCACGGCGGCCGGGAAAAGCACGAGTCGGAGGACCATCCTTTCAGACCCACAAAGCTGTTCGTGTTTGGGGACTCGTACGCCGACACAGGGAACATTAGAAAATCTTTAGGAGGCGCGTGGGTTGAGCCGTACGGCTACACTTTCCCCGGCAAGCCCGCCGGCCGGTTTTCCGACGGCCGCGTACTCACCGATTACGTCGGTAATAAATCAATAATTTCACCGCTGTTAATCTAATCAATAAGTAATTAGATAATTAAATAGGTGAACCCCTACCCACGCTACCATTTATTTTTACCTTTTCTAACTGGCATCAGTCTTTATGATCAGTTGGCACACAATTATTATATCGCCATTAAATATGAATACTCATCAGTTTTTTGCTACTTTAGCTTTTGCTCTTTATTTTTATTATTATATTAATAGTTATTCCTTTTTATGTGGAGTGCTGTAGCATGGGCTTAACCTTTTATGTGTAAGTGCCTGTTTTGTTCGCCTTTTTTGCATGTAAAAATCTGCATTATTTGCACAAATATATGTGAACTTGCCATTAATTGCTATTTGTTGCCTTTATGCAATGGTGTTGCACACATGCATTGTCTCTTTTCGCGCGTGTTCTTGATCTAAAACTAACCTCCTCAAATTAAAATAATAAGTTGATTAACCCGCACGTATTGTGTATATGTTGTTATAAAGTGACTAAAATAGGATAATTAGGAGAAAACTTTTTGAGTTGTTATAAAGTGATTAAAATGGGGATTAAGATATGTTCAAATACAGGAAAAAAAAGTTGATGAAGATTAGATAATGCAAGTTGTGTATATAAGTGGTCCCTTCATTTGCAAAATAGGGTAATTAGTCTCTCCATAAGATTTCATG